CAGTGCCGGCTCTTTCCCAAGAACACGCAACTGCGCCACGAGCAACACGCGGGATTCCCTCCTGCACTAACCCAGCCAGGGGATTTATCTGTGTTTAACTCAAAACAGTGGCTGCAATTGTCACTGTGAGACTTCCATCCTCACTCCAAGATTTTTCCCTGAAACAAGCATCGAATATTTTCCAAGTAAAAAAAAAAATAAAAGCTGAACAAATCTCTCGAATGCACTGTAGTGAGTGAAATGCCCAAGCATTAAAATAATGTCAAAACAAAATAGTACAAAATAATATTTTAATATTATGTAAACATATGGACACAAAACAATGTCAAAATATGTTAAAATATCTTGGACAATAATAATAGAAAAATGACATTTTTCATGTATAAAAGTAAATAGAATGGTATGAGGAAGTAATAACAAAAATATTAGCATATGAATTTTTTGTTTCAGTAAGCAAACTCAATACACAGTATAGCAAAAGTGTAAGTCTGCAATAAGATAATGATAAAAAACAATGGAAGGAAGATACAACTTAAAAAATGCTGGCACAAGCAATGGACATGTTTTCATGAACTTAATTACATTTTATGTGCTAATAAAACAGCCACTGATCTTTACATTTTAATTTACAAGAGCCAAATCTTCAAACCTATTCAAAGCAGTCCCTTTGACATCGAAGAAATCCAGCAGCTCCAGCAGCTACCTGAAAATTAAGAGAGTCCCGTTAGCCAAATCTTGTTATTCTTTCTGGTAAAACAAATGCACCAGGCAGGAATGAGGGCTGGGCTGGATCCAGGTCCTGCGCGGCAGCTCGGGGACTCCCGTGTGGGGCTGTGGCCGCAGTTCGGCTTTTGGTCACCCACCTTTAGGGCCTGATGCATGGCACACAGCTATTTATCTATTTTCCTCCACTAAGTGGAAAGATCTGAGACAAAAAGCCTCCCTTTGTAACACTGCGGCTGTTGCTGGACAGACTTTAGAGAGCAGGGTCAAGCTTTGAATTTATCTGGCCGAGTTACCTACACTAGGCACCAAGTCACCAAGCAGCTATGGCACAAGCAGCTGTTACACTTTCATCTTCCAATTAGCATTTTAATAAAAAGTTATATATTTTTTACAAGTGTTTACATTATTTCTACAAGCACACATTTTCATCTGCAGAAACCCTGCTGTGAGATCTGCAAACATCAATGAAACGCATAAATATAAAAAGCTTGAGTGACTTATGCTAAGTTTCCTTTTACTCACCCATCCATGTGAATCACCCATTCTAAAGGCACGGCAAGTCTTTTTTATTGCTGCAGCACTTGCCATAATTTATATTGGAGGGTGTAAACGTTTGAAAAAAAAAAAAACGCTCAGGCTCATGAAGATCCGGTGCTTTGAAGATGTGATCTGGAATATTACGCATTGCATCATTGTTTTCTATCTTAAAAGGAGGTGGCATCACCGCAGAGCTGCAGCTGTGCTCTGAGCCACGGGCTCATCATGAGCACGGAGGCAAAGCCCAGACTTGCAGTGCACCTGCACGTCCTCTAATCTTGCTCTCCTAGTACTGACTAAGCACTGGGAAAATTCTCAGGCGCTTGTTTACTGGAAATAAGGAGCTTTTAAAACTGCAGCCGTATTTGAGTGTTTTAATTAAACCATAAAACTTCAGAAACTGGCATCCACAGGTGAGAAACAGCACAAGCCCATCAGGGATGCTCACATACCTTATGGTGCGGTAGGTGTCCAGCTCTTCCTGGAGGACCGATGCTCTCTTCTGCAGAATAGTTACCTATAAGACACATTCACATGAGAATGGGGGACCAAATCCTAATTAGTAAGTTTGGACTAGTTTCATAGTGGGTGACTTTCTTGTCTGTGCTGCCTAAATCAAACACAGTAACACCTTGGCTGCATGGACCGTTGCTCGCGTGGCTTCCCTGGCTGGTGCACCCAGCTGCACACTATCTGGGTACTCAGAATAGTTTTAACTTCAACTCGAGTTAACATACAGACTGTACAACCGTTTGGGAACCCAAGCTCTACTCTCACATCCAGTACAAAGACAGCCCTTTGCTCCCTGCGCTTTTCTGATGAGCATATTCACCTGTCCTTGAAGGCTATGAAAATTCAGGTTTATTAATACGGTGCAGTCACTTATGGACAGCTCACCAAGAGCACACAATTGGGCCGCGTGCTTTATATCTAGGAGCGTTTTACAAAACTTCGCCGGAGCGTTGAGTTGTCATTTTTGTTTATTTTTATCGCTGCTTGGCGATTCACCCAGCCCATCCTCTTCATTCTCCTCCAACAATAAATAACCCTGACAGGTGCATGGATTCCAGCGCCCCGCTTGTCTGATGTTTGCAAAGAGGAATTCCAGCAATTTTGGAAGGCCAGGACACCTGTGCTGCTTAGCGAACGGTCGGCAACTACAGCCACTGCTGGAAATACCGCCGACAGCTACGTATCTCTGGGATAACACCCAGCTCTTGGTGTGTGTGTAGTTACTTCTACTCTTTTGAAATGCTGCTGATGCTCAGAGAAGCCCCACAGGTGGATATCAGAGTCTATTCCCTTTTTTAACTCTTTCGAAGGTGTGGTGTCCTTGGATTAGCTCTAGGGAAGGCTTCCTAGCTGACAGTGCTAGCAGCTCAACCACACTTTAAAAATAGCTTTTTGCTATCCACTGGAAATAGATGTCCCCAGGGGATCCTTAACTCTTTATTTCCCACAACTATTCAGACGAGAAAGAGCATCACTTCCATTTGGGATTCCTTGACAAACATGATATTTAAGTTGTGTCACTATTAGCACCTAGCAATAGCAAACTTTCTCTTACGGAGATCTTGTATTAAAAGCAAATCTGCCGGAGGAAATTTCTCAGGCAGAGCAAAAAAACTGCAGAATAACAATATGCATAGTAAAATAAATAAATAAATAAACAAAAATGCCAGCAAATATATTAAATTACAATCTTCTCTATAGGGAGAGATCTTATAAATAAGAAAAATGAAGAGCAAGTGGCTCTATAATAGCATAAAAGAAGGTCCTGAAATTCTGTTTGAAGTGTGTGTTGGTATCAAGTGTAAACCAACGTGTCCTCAGGGCTCCTGCTTTCTCAGAGCTTAGGGCCAGCTCTTAGCCACTGGGGTTCCCATGCTTGTTCTGGCTCTTCCCTTCTTCCCAAGATAGCCCTTCTTAACATTTTTAAATGCACAGTCCTGCATTAGGCCATTTGCAAACACATTTGCAAATAGTGTTTTATTTGGACTAATTTACCAAAAAATACAGATTATTCTGCATCCATGGTCACTCCTATTTATTGCTAATTACCCTTCCTCATACCTTCATGTTTCTGCAAGTTCAGTCAATGATGACATTATGTTTTCTTTGAGCTCCTAATATACTGAATAGGGCAGTGCTGAATAACTTCTTTTGGGATAATAAAGCCAATTCATTAATAGTTCCCTATTTACAAGGACAGTTTGATATTTCTATTAGTCAATTTTACAGTCTATGCCACACAGGTAATATTGATTCTCCACTATTCTGCATTAGCCAGCGTTTTGCAATAAAAAAAGCCTTACAGATGTCTAAGGTATCCTCATCATTCCCTTTATAAAGGAAAACCTGGAAGAAATACAATGCTAATTTGGACCACTATCTTAAAAGAAATACCCTAAAAGAATATGCATTATATATGGGTTCAAAGCAAGCAAAATTATTTTTTGCTCTTCTGAATCCCTTACATGCATCCTTTAATTCCTTCTAGAGAAACAGGGTAACAGAGATGAGAGTTAACTGTATGCCATCTTGGAAACAATGTGAGAGAGACTTATTTTCTACTTATGCAACCGAAGGAAACCTTGGGATCAAAAAATATAACACGATTGCTCTCATGATGAGGGAATTGGGGGGAAAATTCTGGTGAAGGATGATCAAGAGGCATGAGAGTGCTGCCATAACTTATTTGTGAGACCAATTCAGTATTTGGTCAAGTTTTGGTCAGTCATATTTTCTTGTCTATAGGATTTTTTTTAAATGAAGTCCAAAGAATACAAAATTACCTGAGATTTTAAAGACACAATGGTGTCTTCAAGTTCCTGTCTCATAGATGCTGGCATCAAACCCTTGAGTTTGGTTTCATATTCTTGTCGTATATGGGTCATCTGAAATGGAACAAAAGAATAAAATACAGGTGGCTCGTCTTAGAGGTAGCAAAGTAATTTTCTTCTTTTTCCTAATTTAGAGTCCCAAGAAAACAAAATTAGCTAAGGCTATGCAAGAGCATAGAGAAAGGAAGATCCAACAGGCTATCTAATCCATAGAATACAGGTGCTCAGGACATTTACTCTGTAACTCCATAACCACATAAATATTCAACAGACATTTAGAGATGTTATTCAATATTCATTAAGTCAACAGCAATGCTCCTATTGTCTTCAGCTGGCACTGCATCAGAACCTTTAAATAATAAAGCATTTTGCAATTTCAGCTCAGAGAAGGAGGAAAGAATTGCTTCAAAGTTTTCAAAAAATAACTTTAACACGTAAAGGTCAAGGTGAAGGAGATGAAGGGGGTTTAAACCATTTCACTTGACATTTCTGACATATATGTGTACTGCACCATCTTTACTGTCTTCGAAAATAGTCCATTCTCTACTCCTATGTACTTGGAAGTTAACTACACATCTTAAAGTTTATCAACGATAATAATCATTTTCTAATTATTTGTATATAACTTTAACACGTAAAGGTCAAGGTGAAGGAGATGAAGGGGGTTTAAACCATTTCACTTGACATTTCTGACATATATGTGTACTGCACCATCTTTACTGTCTTCGAAAATAGTCCATTCTCTACTCCTATGTACTTGGAAGTTAACTACACATCTTAAAGTTTATCAACGATAATAATCATTTTCTAATTATTTGTATACTTTTCTTTTTTCACCTTATTGATTGGTTAAACCACCTCCTGCTCCAACCCAACAAGAAACAAAAACCACTCCAAACCCTCTATGCCCACACTGCCCTGTTGCACCTTCCCCCAAGCTGGAGCAAGTGGGCAGGAATATCCAAAATCCAGGCTCCCATCTTCAAAAGCCAGAAGAAACTCTTGTCAATCACAGGATCACATTGTAATGATCCTGGAAAACACATATTTACAAGCTTCCACCCTTCTGCATGGACATGAATTGACATTAGGCATCATTCTGTGTGCAGTGATTAGGAAGCCGGACCTCCGAGATCTAGAACACATTCTTGTTTGCAGCTGAGGAAGTGGACAAACAGGCAGACTAAACAAAATGCTTGAACGCTATTGCATTCCAAAGCAAAATAGCCCGTGCAGTGTCATGCATTTGTAATTTGCACATAAAAAGTAGACATCATGTTAGCTTGTTTTATGTCACAGCTATGGGACTTTCAACAAATAGGTTCCAGTATTTTAGGTATGTTGCAAGGTCAGACGTTCACGCAAAAATGATTACTTCTAAAGGGCTTTTTAGTTTGTAATCTTATTTAACAGATAGTGGGTAAATAGGGCTGTTATAAAGCGGTGTTAGGCCAAGATCCTGGACGTAGGTTTGTGGTTCATATCTCCCCAGTGCGACTCTTGACCCAGAAAAAGTACCAGGATTCTCATTCAGTTCTGTCTCATATAATGACTTGGACACTTTACTACTTTATTGAATCAGGGCTTTATATCTGCACTATGTAAATAAAATATAAAAGGGACTCAATATCAGATTAACTCATAAAATAACATTTAACCTTCAAATTCAGTCTTCTTTTCGAATGCATTTACATGCCAACACCATTTTGTGCTAGTTATACTTCAGTTACAAAATTGCTGAAATCTACTATTGTGACCACAAATCAAAAACTCAGGCTTACATTTGAAGAAGCAGCCATGAGTTTTAAGTTCCACTTATATCAGGGCAACACATGGCAACAAAACACAAAGTTCACCGAAAGATGTGCCAATTACTATCTTCTGCAAATACATTATGCATAATGCAATTATTGATACAAAAGGAATAAAGCAGTCTGATGAAACTTTAGGAAAATTTAGTCTATGAGTCATTCCAATATGCAGAAGAAATCTCCAAATCTCTGTGCAAACAGGCAATTAGAGGCTTTCCTTGTGAGCTGAAAGTAAGTGATGCCACTCTGTACACATAAAGAAATAGCAGGAAAAAAATGGTGAGACAGGAAACCCTGTTTGAACTCAGCCTATATATGTGATCAAAATTTATGTTTTTTTTTTTTTTTAATTACTCTGAGAAATTTATGCTACTGGTTGTATAAAAGCTTACAAAATTATGCATAGGTACTTTGCCAGCATAAATATTTTTTAATCCAACAGCTTATTTGGATGGGGACCTCGATGCAGCAGAAGCATACATTTCAGTTAATTCAACATGTGGTACACTTGACCTTGGTGAGGTAGGCGCAGAAGCGGGCAGGGAACGTTTTTATTTTCTCAACTTTGAAAAATAAAGAGGTATTTTGCACATAAGAGGATGTGGATGGTATGAATCCACACCTACCCCCCCAGCAAAAGCAGCAGCAGGGAAATTCCCCCACGCAGGTGAAGGCTGCAAAGGGGTCCGTGGACACGGGGTTGGCAGGCCGGAGGACGTGGGCCCGACCTGCAGCACCGCGAGCGCAGCGGGGAGCGCGCATCGGCACCCCTCGTTAGCACTTTTCCTAGAGGAAAGTCAAGCAAGTCTCATTCTTAATTAACCCCAAACTTTAATACAGCCCAGCGAGGGCAATAATTACTTTCTAATTGTGCAAGAGCCTTCTTGCAACCTGGCCGCTGCTTCTTCTAGTTTAATCTGCCAGTGTCCTCCAAATACCTGCTGTCGCAACGCGGTTGCGGTTGCTATTAACCCGGCTCCCTTTTAATGAAGGTGCTTCTCAGAAAGACAAGAAGAAATATGTACTTTGCTTTAGTGTACGGATGCTTATTAGCATGTTGGCTGGAAAAAGAGAGAGAAAATGAGAAATGAGCCCTGGTAGCCAACGTGCTGCTTGGGGCTGGTTTCAGAGAGGTCGGACACACTTTTCTTGCAGTGAAAACTGATTTCTGGGACCCAACTGCCCTCGGTCCATTTGCTAAGACAACTTTTGGAAACGACACTACTTTCTACTGCGGTCATTACTAATTGCATCACAATAAGATGAAAATAAGGCCCCAGCTGTTTCCTGTCGTTTTATGATAAACAACACGTTGATATTTTTGGCCGGAGTTACTATCAAGGTTTATTGACCCAGGAGATTAAAATAGTTCATAGCAATTACTTCTTATGACTGAAAAATAACATGTAGTGGGCTAATATATACTATCTTTAATGGGGGAAGGTTTTTATTTTTTAACATTTATTTCTGACCAATGAAAGGTAGGCCTGCTGAGATTTTTTTTTTTTTTTTGGCCTTAAAGGGGTTTTTGTTTTTTTTTTTAGCCCCAAGCACCCCCCCCAGGCCTGCTGAAATTTTTTTTTTTTTTGGCCTTAAAGGCGTTTTTGTTTTTTTTGATAGCCTCAAGCAGCCTCCCCAGGATCCACAAATACTGTGTCTCCTCTTATACCCTTGAGAGATGTTTAAAACTGCAATTCTTCAGCCCTCGGGAGGGCTCCAGTCTGCTGCATAGGGATAGCTCTACCTCATTTACTGTTGTGTTCATTTTCCTTTGGTCTTAAGTTTTTTTTTTTTTTCATTTTGGTGAGTTGATTTAATTCAGAAACCACCCCAAAGAAGGTTTTATAGGTTTTAATATTAAGCTGCCACATTGCTCTTTGTTTATTCAGGTTGGTGCCCAGCATAGGAGGTTTACAGT